TTCTGATTATGTATTAATACTTTTTACAGGTTTGGAAGGCAACAAAACATTATTTACTAGTTAACTAATGTAGCCATCATTAATTGCTGCCACTTAAACGAATTCAAGTCCGACTGGTTAGCTCACTGGTAGAAACTTTCCCAGCTGGCTAAGTAGTTAACAGTGCCATAGCTCTTTTGACTAGTTCTTCAACACAGGTGAAGGAAACAACAGAACCCAAGACGGTAGACTGAATGACATCACTGTAATGCAAATAAGCGAAAGAAGCAATTGAGACAATTTTTTTCCCAGCCGGTATATGCTTCCTAGACGAGGGGGGGGGGGGGGGGATGGGGATTAACAAATGACTTCTACAGACATACAACTTACAGACATGCATCTTTTTCTCTCACTCTTCATCTTACTTTCCTCCTTCATCCTTTCGACCCGAGCTCTCTGAGCATTCATTTCTATGACGTCATTTACTTCTCAAGTCATTTTTCGCCCCCACACCGGGAAATCCAATTGGAGGAAGTCCCAGTAAAGGAAGTCCTCTACCAACCAAGCAGACGATATATCAGGCTAGAACAGAGACGTCTAGTGTTTCCGGGCCTCTCGCAAAAAAAAGGAGGGGGGAGGGGAGAAAAAACAAAATCTACCCGGGGGTCGGAGAATTTCATCTTGGTCGAGAAAAAATAAATGTAACATTTAGGGTGGGTTCTTGTACTCTCTTTTAGCTGCTAACGGGCTTTTAAGTGCTCCTTTTTGTTAAATGTGATTCTTGTACAAGCTTTTACACTAAAAGCCATTTTATATCATGATGATTTTAAAGGTGGTCCTGGGGCTCAGTTAAAACAGCTCTTCGGCATTGTCAAAATGGAGACTCTGGGACAACTGCATAATCTTCGCATTGTCCGTCGTGTGAGAGCTGGCGATCATCATAGCGTGGCTCTAAGTCTGGTAGACCGTAATGATATAATGCGTACTCCGGATGATTTTGCATTCAATCGTCGATTTCGATTCGAAGAGATAGTGGTGGAAATTACCCAGCTCCTGACTTCACGTCTTTGCCAACAGCGACGAAGAATGGACGTGAATACCAAATTACAAGTTCTAATCACATAGCACTTCTTTGCAACGAACTCATTTCATGAGGTGCTGAGGATTGAATTCGCCTCTCGAAATCAGCTGTGAATGCATGTATTCATCAAGTTGCAAGAGGCCTAGCGGATATGAGACCTCATTGGGTAACATTCCCGTGCCCCGTAGAATATGATCGGCTTAAATGGACTTCTGTAAGCTAGCTGGATTCTCAGGGGTACTTGGATCTTGCATCAGCTTCCTTTTTAGCACGACATTTCATTCTTTCCCAAAGGATGTGAATCTGGGACGCTTTTCTCATTGGCTCTGACGGAAACTGGGCCGCATGACCATGCTTTGTTCTTCAGAGCATTGCTCTATCACCTTTCTTGCATTCGATAATGCTTTTATCGGTCTTCACTGGGGAAATTTAGGCAATCTCGCCCCTCATTAGATAAATTTTCACCTCTTTCACGCTTCTAGGTGGACTTGCTATCAGCACTCGTACTCGCCAAGTTTGCAACCGGGGTTGTCAAATGCTTACGTAAGATTTATAAATGGCCTTTTAGTTTACGCATGTTTAAGAGAAGAAAAAACTACTCTTAAACGTCCTTTTAGCTAAAGGCTTTTTAATATCTGAAAGCTCCTTTACCTAAACGACACTATAAGAATCCACCCTTAACCATTATCTTTTAGTCTCTCTCCATTCCACATCATCCCTCCTAATTTCTTTCCTTTTATCTTACTGGTTCCATTAATTGGAATATTATATACTACTTACAAACTGAAGGAATGCGTTGTTCTTCCTTCTTAGCACTTCCGAGTAAAGAAAGCCCAAGGCTGACCCTGACTCGGGGGGAAGCCTTCTCTGGTTCATGTCAAAACTCTCTCGAATGTTTATGGTGATACCTTCCAGATCCCCCTTTCCACCTCATCGCACTTTGTTTTTGTCACATCAAACGTCAGTCTCCTTTATCAATCATTGATTCATTCATTAACGTGCGGATCCATTCAGTATTTTTCTAAAGACTTAGCTGAATGCATCGAGAGAAAAAGCATGCCTTTCGAATCATTGATACTGTGACATCCCACAGAGCAACTGCTGCAGTAAGAAAAACACAATCTTGTTCACATAAATGATAATCTTTGGGGTGTTGAGCGAATGGCAAGTATCCCTTTAAAAAATAAGGCGACTTCACCGCCACGGTGCCCGTGCATACATTATGATAAACGCGTTTTCAGATTTCTAAGAGGTGTGTACAGTTGTTGCTCCCATTGTCAAATTGAAAAGTAACAATAAAAAAATAATACTGAAATTTGAGGGGGAAAGACATTGCGTGACAGCTGTAGGGACAGCTGCAAGGATTGGACTTTGCATATAGATGAATATACTCACAAAGTAACCCTTTGCGAATCAATTTCTTCTATTTTCTCTAAATTGTCGGGGTATACTCGACATAGGACCGCAAAGGGTTACGATGGCAGGAGTACTTAAAAACTTAAGATGACTTGCATCGATCCCAACGTTAAATGATACACACAAGAGATGCGAACTTCATGATTCTAATTGAAATCTTTCAGCTAGACCGCTCAGGAAAATATGCCAAAGGTGGTGATTCTAAATGGAATCACTGGTCCGAAAAGGGTTAACTGGTTAGGATCATGACGTGAGCTATCACCCAAATGTGGAGGATTCCGGGAGAGGAAAACGGTACGAGAGAATTCACGCTCATACAAGAACTATCGATCCTAAGATAAAATTTCCACGAACTTTGGAATGAAACGCCTCTTCCGAACTCAAATAGCTTATGGGACCCATGCATTTTCTAGTCTCACTCAGGGAACAGCATGATACATTTTTGCTTTGTACAGGGTGGTCCACAATTGTCTCCCCAAAAGCAAAAGCTTATTAATCATGAAGTATACATCCGATTTCAATTATATATGACTTAAACGAAAGCCAACTCAAAATATTTTTAATGTAAACAATTTCAGCATTCCATAAGAAACTGGAACAATGTTACATCCTTACAAATGAAAGCCGCCAAATCACTAGTGTTCAATATGACTTCCACAATTTACAATTACTTGGTGCAGTCTCTCTTTGAAAGCCAGCAGAATTCTTTCAATCATCTCTGGTCCAACTGAGGCGAAAGCATCTCTAATGGCCTATTTCAGCATATCTAAGTTGTCATAGGTCCGCCGATGAATCTCTTCGGACTCGGAAACCTCTTATGAATTGCCTTCATGATCTCATCAGGAACTGAGGCATTTGGACCCAAACTGAATAAATTTCCAATTTTCCCCCCACACAAATTTGTTTTCGTCAAATTATCCAACCAAATGGCAATATTCGTATTTTGCAGGATACTGAAGTCACCCATGGCACAGACAATCCCTCACGATGCATTAAAAAACCACGAATGAATTGCGAATTTCAGAAGGGATTGTGATATTTACAGGCTTTAGTTGCACGATATGGGTACTTTCATTTGTTATGGTGTAACTTTGTTCCAGTTTCTTATGGAATGCTGAAATTTTTCATAATAGAAATATATTAAATTGGCTATCGTTTGAGTCATATATCATTAAAACCGAATGTATACTTCCTGAGTAATAAGCTTTTACTTTTGGGGAGACAATTGTGGACCACCCTGTACATTAACGAACTCTAACCAGCGAAAGTTGTACTAAATGATTTCATGATTGGCATGCTTGGTTTCGCCGTCACACGCAAGTGCTAATCTTTGAACAAGAACAACTTCGAAGAGTTCAATGCAAAAAGGTTTTCACGAGAAGCCTGCACATGCACTGACTCATCAATTCGGGTGTGTACGCTGGCATAAGTGATTGCCCGATCGATCTCTTTCCCTGAATCATCATAATAAATTTGACAGATTCCAGAAGCAGTCTTTCGGATCGGACGACTCGAGTTCCTGAAGCCCCTCCGGGCTGACACGATCTTCGTAGTCTGAACTGGAGCCACAATATCTCACAGTTACAGGGTAATATCATTGCGCAAAAGATACGTAAAATATGAATTGATAAGCATTATAAGTTTAAGGCTACATATTTACAATGCGAGACAGGCAGTAGTTGATAGTGCGACTACTCCTGGCATGGTTTTTCTTACGAGCTCAACTGGAAATTAAATTTTAAATTAAATACAAAGGCGTTGAAAGATGGGAATGTTTTTGACAATTCTGCTCGCTGTATGAAATACATAGTTAATATTTGTTGGCCTTAAAGGATATAAACGCTTCACAAAATCTTCATTTTCAAGAAAATGAATATGCTGCCAAGTTTAACTCTAGAAATGGACTTTTGTACATCTGAAAGATGAGGCAAATTTGACCATACCTGCCTCTCTCTTTTCCTATGCAGGAAATGCAATTTTTTTTAAAGAGAAATCCTCAAAAAACAAGCAACAGCACCTCGGCCTTTATTAGGAAATATTATCTGAAATGAAAAGTATCCAAGGGCATTGGCATATACAAGGTGTCCTAAAAGTCGCTTTACTGAGACGGTGAAGTGTTTAACTGTGATTATTTTCACTTGCATTCAGATTTTTATTTGCAGATGTGAAATGCACATTGAACATGGACAACAATTTGAACAATTTCTGTAGCTCCTCAATGTCACTTTCTGCTGGTGGTTGGTTGTAAATAAAGTAGTTTTTCCCTGGAATGTGAGTATAATTTTGGTAATGTGACTTTTAGGACACCCTGTATATTGTGAACAGATTTATGAAGATGCTGATTATACTTGAAACATTAGGCTATCTGAAGTTCTTTTATTTGAGTAGTCCACATTTTGTCAATTTCATAAACTTTTCTCTATGGTGAATGATTAAAAAAAAAAGAATTTCCTTTGCTTTTGGTGACTGAAGTTTACAGATGAAAGAGGAAGAGAGAGACAGAGAAACAGACAGATTGACAAACCTTGAGAAGAGAGAGTGCATGATCAGGGTCAGAAGCAGCTTCAGATTCTACTCGTTCCAGAGTGGTTTCAGCATCTGACAGCCATGAGAGAAACTTCTCCACGCTCTTGTCCCATGAGTGAAGACTGCTCACCGCTCCATGGAGATTCTTCCCCCTTGATACCACACTGCCTCAGCCAAAGGAAATCCACAGGATTATATAATATTGTTTGAATGTGATTCCTTAAAAGCATCCTTTTCTCTCCAATTTCAAATGGCCAAAGCTAACCTAGCAAAAGTTATTAGTTAACAAAATTTTCCAAAAACATATTTCAGTTATTTTTTTTTTAAAAAGAATAATCTCATCCAATATACAAATAAACTAAAATTGTCAATATTTGTTGTCATGATGATATCAGCTTCAACTGAACAATTTAGTTTGTGTCCATGGTAACCATTGTAAAAAAAATCTGGGTGGAGCCCCTGGTTCAGAAAAAGTGCCTCAGGAATGAATTTATAGGTGAAATGAACATAAAATAATTAGAAACTGTTGCTGGTCGAATTCCACAATTGTGTAATTGATGAGTGAAAGGGTTACATTGATCTGATTTCATTATGAGCCCTTATGGAAACTTGTTTGAGTTAACCTCACATTCCAACAGATGCCCAACAGTCCATTCTGAAATCAGGCTTGATTAATTTTAAACAGATCGTCTGTATGGCCCCCATCTTCAAACTAAAGTAGAACATAAAATGACTGCGACTCTCAAATACCAAGAATGTTCTTATGTTTTCAGCAAAAATGTTTTCTGGTTCAACACTACAGGATTAAGAAGAATTAAGAATTACTTATGAATTCTCTCAAGCAAATGGATATGCAATATGACACATATACTTCAAGATAACTGATGATAAATTAATTTGTACAACTTTTTTTCATCCACTTCTTTAACTTCTGATCAAGTGACAACCAATTGAGCAATTTCCTGGAAATATATAATCACATATCAGAAAAAATACATAAGAATTTCAAATATTAATTTCTTGAGTGGTATTTAAAGGAGCAATCCTTCAACAGTAAAAACTGATGCAACTTCTTGACCCTAAAATTAATGACAGAATTGACCAAGCAGTGACAAGACCTTGAACTTCTTATCTGACAAAACATGGATTAATTTCTTTGGGTAACAACAAAAAAGTCAGCATTACAAACTTCAATTAGATTGATGTAATGAGGGTTGAGGGTATGGAAACAATAGGCAGCAGAAGTAGCATACTCATGCTGATGAATGAAATGCTAATAAATGGGATGATTATGGGGTGAAAGGAAGGCAAAGCTTTGCAGGTTTATTCAAGCAACACAGTTATGAGTTTATATATTTCACCTCATCAGGCATCAAATCACAGAGGTCAATAAAAGAGGAGAATCATATCATGAATATTCAGTTATAACCACATTCATGGTTCAGTGTTAGAGTAAGGTTATATACTGAACAGCCCACTGATCGAGTTTTTTGTACATACAAGGACATGGTATGAATCCACTGCCAATGAATTTTACAGTGAACAAAAACAGTCTGCTCCAAGTAGGTGTCAAAGGATTTTGTGACACACTTCCAGTGAGAAAGTCATGTAATGGTAATCTTATAACAAGATTTTTTGTTTCCATTGGTGCCTTCAAGAATTTCTGGAATATTGCCAAACTATTAAAGAAACTGATGGAATTCTCAATTCTCATTCCTCAACTTATGCAAATATTACAAAAGGAATCAGCAGAATGGAAGGGGAATTTCTACCACCAGGTTAACAAAATGCCGGGTACTAGCCACAATGAGAATGATGTAATTTCAGGCTGATGTGAGATCAATCACTCTCTTTAGGATACACAATAACATACATATTGACCAAACCAGTCTACACTTGAGAACTAAATTTGGGGTATTGTAGAGACAAGAGACACACCTATGATTGAGTTGGGAATATCGCTGGTTAATAGCATCGGTGCTCCTCTTGAGCTTCCTTGTGTCATCCTCACTGTACTTCTCAGCTAGAGAATGAGTGAGGTTGTTCAGCATCTCCAACTGGCCTCGGTGTTGGTGCAACTCTGCATGAAATGCCTGGAGAAAGGGGAAAACCAATCATTGATAAGTCACCACCAGATCTTTTAGAAGAGACAACGTCATCAGACCTTTTGCTCCTTGAGCTGGGCCTCAAGAATGTCGACATTGTGTGCAACAGGGCCCATGGCACGAAACTGGGCTTCCATGGCCTGCAACCAGGCATCCACATCTGCATGCATGCTACGCCATTGCTTGGAATCCCCCAGCATCATCTCAAGTCGACTGCGTCTCTCACTCATACGGTTGTAGGTCTCCTCCCAGTGCTCTCGCAATCGACAAACTGCAGGGGACCGTCACACCAAGGAGATAGCATCACTTTCTCAATATAATTGGTTATCAACCATCAGCATTTCAACTGAGAACCATTCCATATCAGAAAAGTCAGTCTAACAAACAAGTGTATGACTTTGTACCATCCAACACTACTCCTAACATGGGGATCCATAAGAAGTGAAATCATCAGTACAATAACATATCATGCAAATTTTTTATTTTGCTGTGCAAAAAAAAAAAAAACTGGCTCATTTATTGAAGTGAATAGGTAGAATGCTCATTTCAGCGAACGAGCCACTCTGAACCGCCTAGATTCGGGCCAATCGGGATCCTGTCTACCATTCAGGTTTACGGACTGGACAGCGAGTCGGACACATTTCTTGAGGATGTGGACGGAGCTCTAGAAGGGATCTCAAACGGCGACCTCGTCTTCCTGACGGGAGACTCTGATGCGCAAATTGGAAACAATGAAGCCATATGGTGTGGGGTTAAAGGACGCTTCGGAGAAACCACGCTAAATGGAAATGGCAGAAAGTTGCTCGATTTTTGTGCTGGCAATGAATTGACCGTCACCAATGACACCTTCCAATACAAAGGCATTCACAAGTATACCTGACACAGGGGGTCTGACGGTCGGACTGGTACTGTCTGCCAGCAGACGCTAATCAACCGTATCGGTTGATGCGTGGAACATGGTAACGGGTACGAGGGTAAAGGGTTGAAGTGAGCCCTGACCACCCATCTAGTGACTAGCAAACTCCGCATACGGGCGAACTTCAAAATGGGGCAGGAAACTACACGCGTTGCAAAACGAGTGAGGTGGGAAGCCCTCCGAGATGAGAAAACTTGCGACGAGTTAGCAAGGGTAATGGGCGAAAATAATTCTCAAATGCCTCACCAGATTTCTGATACTGAGACCAAATGGGTTCTATTTCAATCTGACGTTTCGGCTGCAGCAGTGAAAGTATGAAGGGGAAAAGCGAATCGGAGTGGCACGCGGTAACATCAAGCGGACTCCCTGGTGGACACCAGAAATACGGCTGGCTGTTGCTGCCAAGGAGGCAGCCTAACCCTGCGTATATGTGCGATAGGTCGGACCCTTCGTGGGCGTGTTACAGAGAGACACGAAATACTGCTTCTCGAATCGTGACAGAAGCAAAACGAGAGGCATGGAAGAAATGGATCAAGAATATCGCAATGCCTACAAGGTGTTTTGGCAAACCGTTCGAAGGCTCCGGCAAGGCAAGCAACATATTGTCTGGGTCATGAAAGATCGAAACGGGAAGGTAATGGCTGTAGAAGCGGAAAAGCTTGAAAATTAGAAGGAACACCTTGAGAAGCTGTTAAACCCACCCACAGCGAACTCTGACGTACTATGCTCATAGTCTCCCAACGCGGAGAATAGTCTTACCAAAGAGGAAGTTCAACTTGGCTAACTTGGAGAACATAAAGTCTCCTGGCGTGGATGAAATCCGGGCAGGGACCCTGAGAGCGATGGGCATCAATGGGTGTTCGTGGTTGCATAGGGTATCCGAACTGCATGGAAATTGGGGACGGCACCGATGAATTGGCAGACCGGTGTGGTAGTTACTCTTTTTAAGAAGGGCGTCCCAATTACAGTGAAATCCCTCTCCTCAGCATACCTGGGTAAGGTCTAAGTCAAGGTGCTAAAAAGAGAGCGCATTGGAGAAGCCATCCAAGATGTGCAGTGCGAATTTCGCGAAGGGCGGGGCACCACGAATTAGCTCTTCATTCTTGATTCTCAAAAGATTGGGAATATGCCTAAGAGATATACATGTGTTTTGTCGTTCTCGAAAAGACGTATGACCGTGCACTTGGAGGGAAACTGTGGGGAGGGTTGCATGAGTATGAGCTGACAGCTACTCCGTGCCATACAATCATTGTAGAGTGATAGCAGGAGCTGCGTTCAGGTGAACGGGATGGGTTTGGATTCGTTCTCGGTACGTGTTGGACTCCGTCAGGGCGGCGCTCTCTCCCCTTTCCTATTCCTTGTGTTCATGGATAGGATCTATAGGCGTAGCCGGGGCCTCGAAGATGTCAGCATCGGTGGTATCGAGGTAAAGACTCTTCTCTTTGCCCATGATACCGTCCTTTTCGTTCGGTCTCGACAGGAGCTTCAGGATGTGCTCGATCAGTTCGACTCGGAATGCACTGCCGACTTGTGGTGTGGGTCAATCTACAGATGACCATATGTAGGAATAAGGCTCCCCTCACCAAAGACAACTTGAGCATCGTCATCTCTGTGCATGCTGACCGTCGTCTGTTTGGCTTATAGCTTGTTCTCTTAGTTGAGTAGCCTTGTCGTGAGACCATCGTGAACCAATCATTAGCAGACGATGCCATGTACTAAGGGACTTCAGCTAGAATTGTCTTTGGAATCGTCCAGTGACGTAGCCAGAATTTCGCCAAAGGGGACTAGAGGGAACCGAAGAGGGGCTAGAATTTCAACCAGAATTGGGGGGAGGGGGGCTTTTCCCCCTTACTACGTCACTGGGAATGGAGAGTACTTCAAATTTCTATCTAATATTCCTGGCATGCTAGGTTGACCGCAGAAACAGGTTGAAATAGCTGTTGGTACTCTAGGCCGGCCGTACACCCCCTGACGAAACAGATCGAACAGCGTCAATAATCTAGCCTAGAGCTTCGGTATCTTTTACTTTAAAGCCTTCTTCGGCCCAGAGTTCCTTGTCTGTCTGGCATTTTACAATAGTTTGAAATGCTTGTTAGAGGATTCCCAGGGTTGCTGGGCTGTAGCTGTTCAAGGACCTGCCTCTCTGTCAATAAATATATCTATCATATTATAGTCAACTTTGAAGGGAGCAACAGAAACCTATTGCCCTTCCAGTGACCAGGAACTCAAATGACGAGGAAAATATCGTCGTACGACACGGCTGGTCAAGTTGGTCAATCGGCCTTGCAGCACTGCATCATTGAGCTCCCGGTCACAAATCCAAGCAAATACTTGGTTGTTTGGTATCGAGCGTTTTTTTCCTTGACCAACATTTTAGACAGCACTTACTTTTTTATATTACTTTTTATATTATATTATAGTCTGAGCAGTCTAAAAATATTCCTCTTTTTAGATGAAATTTTAGCTCGAGTCTAAGTCTTCGCTTGGAGGGGGGGAGGGGGGGAAGGAGCAGAAAGACTTTCCCAATGAGTCAGATTCTAAAGATTAGATTTAGACTTAGATCGGCATTTTACCTCAGATAAAAACAGACTTGTTTTGTACATTTCCAGATTCGATTTAGATTAAGCATTGGGCGTGAAATACACAAACATCTTTCGTCGAAAGCCAGGCAAAGCAAAAAATGGAAGGGGGTGGGGTCAAGAATGGCTCAATTTTCCGCCTTTATGAAAGAAACAGCAAGAGGAATTAGAATTAAATAATTCCCTCGCTCCCCCTCAGATTAGCTCTCTTTTTCGAAGGAGGCATCGGTGCCTGACCAGGCACCACTAGGTGAAACAAACAAGGTTGATTAAGGTAGGTCAGTTAACCACACGATGACTGGGCTTCTTTCGTCAACGCAGTCCGAGAATCCAATCATCCTTTTTTCCAACATAAGTTAAAGGAGATGCGTCTATCCAGTGAGAAATACTTTAAAATAATTTTTTAAAGAATAAATAGGAAGGATGGGAATCTTCCTCGGTCAGTTCTTCACACGCATCGATCCAAAAGAAACTTAAGTGAATCAAGGTTGAAGAATTTTCTCGTTAGAAGAGGATGGGGATTACTTGCCGCCAGACCAGAAGTGGCATCTCCGATCGAGATGAATCGCTTTGCCCTGTCCATCTTCAATCACAATCATCATCATCCCCAACACCACTTCAAACAACCTTGCCTGGATTTCCGAATACTATAGTGTTTTTTCTATGATACTGTTTGAGCCTCCTATGAGATATCCGATTCCTTTTTCAAATGTAGATCAGTAATTTAAAAAAAAAACAAGGCTCACGCCTGCGAGTTAATCCACGGATGGAACGAGATAACGGATCGATAGGAAAGCCTTTCATCTTTACTTCTCCCCTCCGTCAGCTCCTTATGCATCATGTCTGTCCAGGGTTTTCCCGATCTCGCTGCCTTCTTTACAAGAAGAAATGCTATATGGTCGGATCAGGGAAGGGTCTTCCCTTCTCACCTTTCCCGTGAAGTTGTTGTCGATTGGCCTGGGATTTGAGAGATTCAGCCGTGGAGACCAACTCCTCCAACTGTGGCTTCTTCCCCTCCAGCTCCCGCAATACATTCTGCAAAACCATTTGGGAGAAACAAAATACATGATGAAACAAACACAACGGAGGCGTGAGTTTGTCTGATGACTGCGATTTTCCTATGTCCTTAAAACATACATGAATACATTTCCCTAATCAACGCTTACAATTGCTCCCTTGTCATACATCTCTTATCTATCCTGGCAAGACCTGAGTGGCATGTACACGTGCCAAATCCTATTAGTTTTATTTATCATGGGTCTGAGGAGACTCTGCCGGACACATATTGCCAAAGAGACGCATAATGCAGGAAAACACTCTTGAAATGCACAAGAAATTGTTCCTTTATAGTGCTGCATATCCCACTTCCACAGTGGAATTTGGTTTGGGAGAAAAACTTCACTTTCATAGTGTTTGTCATTACAGCCTCATCTTCATAGTGCATGAGATAATAAAAAACCTGCAGAGCTATTAACAAAAAGAAATTCGCAAAAGAAATATTAACGCAAAAAGAAATTCAATTTGCCCTTTTCAACCAAATTACACCAATGTCCGGTCTCAAAACGTGAAGAGAGTGTGCATTTTCCTCTCGAATAGTATAGACGCCAAAACCGTCAACTTCAAAACGTGGGCAAGTCTAAGTGCTTCTCGTATGAAAGATAAATACACACATACGTACACATTATTCCGAGGCACAACTGCAAATACATAAAATGTGGGGTACTGGTTGGAAGTTGTGTTGAAGGCTTCACCTTCAGAGTCTAATTCTACGATTAAAAGAGGTTTCAGCCATTTCAAATTAGGAATACCCATGATGAGAGCGCATGAAACGTATTAAAGTCAATCTTATTTCACGTCTTTTCCGCGGTTCAAGGGATGTCAACCACAAAACCTAGGACAAGATGAAATATCGGATATCGGGAAGTGGATGAATTAGAGTAGTGGATTCGAATGAGAAAGGCCACTATTCCCAGAGAGAACGTAGAAAGAGGAACCTGGGAATGGGGACTAAAACTCGTTTAGGATTCAAATTTGTTCCAGAGGGTTCCACGTGGAAGAATGACCCAAATGAAGACACAGCATTTAAATACGTCCACGCCCAGGATTTGCTTAACGAATGAGATTCCGACTGAATTGGAATGGAAACCGGTCTAGTCAAGAAATGACATTTATGGTCCCATGATACCATGCCAACAGAGTCGGAAACAAATACAAGCAATAAACAAGAGGACAGCTGCTTCGCTTTGCTTTGTTTCCTCCTAGTCGTATTTATATGTGAGAATCTCTCCATCTGTTGGTGTCACTCACTATTCAAGTTACAAGTATGCAAGACATCATTAATCTGCGTCTTTTTTGCTTCATTCTCCCACCCGCAGACAGGAAACGCTTGTTTCCTTTCTTTCGTCCAAGGCATGCCTTGCTCTCATGAAATCCCGGAAACTGGCAGAAATTTACAGTTTATGCATTCACCTTTTGCTTGTCGATCTGTTCGGAGATTTCCTCGATGTTTCCTACGCTGACAACCTGTTGACGGAGCATGTCGTCCAGTCGTTCCAACCACTCGCGGATCTGTCGAAATGAAGACCAACGAGACGTCTGTTAATATGTTGGGTGGGAAAGGTAGACGAAATCAATTTTAAATCCTCAGAATGTTTGTCCTTTTGGCGACTTACAACCCTCCACCCCCCGTGGCAGCTGTACAATAGACCCATTTTCACTCCCAAGCCCAAACAAGAGGATCGAGTTTCCAAACAATGAAAGGAGGAAAAGAGAGACGAACCCATCTGATGAATACGACGTAACATGAGTCTGCCTAAAATTTGTAGAATCAATTTCTTCCAATGATTCCCTTCCCCTTCCATTGAACGATTACCGACACACCAACATGATGGATCAATGCAATACCTTACATCGAGAATGCAAACATGCCATTCAAGCAACTTGACGTGAAATAAATTGTTTGGCCATTGCAAAAGAAAGATTTCTAAAACCGTGGGTTCACATTTTTACCGCATTGCCAGTAAGATTTACTGACTATTCGAAAGGCCAAAGCACAAAAAGAACGACTATCCATCAATACGTGGGTCAGTCAACAAGTAATTTCCACAAGGCTTACCAAGAAATGTTATATTCAACACCTGAAATATGACTGCATATTCCTTTGTATAATACCCCCACCAGTTCACGACATTTACTTCCCATGGACTTCCCAATCCGAAAATGCCTATTTGCATGCCCTTAATCTGCAGGCCCCTGTGTGATTTGGTCACACAGGAATCAACCACTACAACATCACGAAATCTGGTTCCCTTAATTGATTCTTTCATGGCAAGAAATAAAAAAGTCGCATGGACTCTGATCTGCACTAAATGGGAGATGCCCTGGGATTTCCCCTTTCCGTGACTCGACCTGGTTGACGAAGCTTCCCTTGCAGTGTGGTCTTGCATTGTCATGAAGCAGAATTGGTATGGATTCCAGAAGAAATAGGCACGTATTCCGGATTGTGGGGCGCAGTTTATGCATCCAGGCATACTTGCCTTCATTCATTGGCATAGGTGGGGATCAATTCATACTAGGGTCAACAGATTAACGGAATACTAAATGGTATTTTTAGACTGAAAAGTTCATGGGGAATGTGCTGTGAAATGGAGGAATATACAGAACGAACGTTACATGACAAGGAATATAACATTTCTAAGGTAGTCTCATGGAAGTTACTTATCTGTCCCTTGAAACAATTAAAAACTATCCAAACAGCTCCCCAACAGCGTACAATAAAATTTTAATAAATTATGCGTTACTAGGCAAAGCCCAAAGAACGTCTGAGCCGATGAAAAAATAACTAAAAAAATTGAATGACATAAGGCATTCCAGTTCAAGTGGAAAATTTTCAGGTATTTTGGTTCGCATCCGACAGGGATTTGCTTGAGAAAATTCATGCATGATGACTTCCCTGAGTTCCTCTGAAAATAGCTGAATTTTACCTATTTACTTTTTTCGCAACAGGATATCATATTTGAAAAGTCCAATTTTGCCATTTTTCACTCACTTTAACGCTTATATTGTTTCAACAAAATAGAAACTTGAAACTCGTGTCAAGTGAAAGCTCCTTTCAAGGTCTTTCCGTTCATGAATGACTAATGCCGTTACATTGAAATGTCGAGTTTTTGAGATTTCTCGCAATTTAGAACTCATCATTTTTACTCTTCAAATAATTTACCAAAATTCCTAACGATGCGAATCGTGGTGACTAAACCAGGTCTGGAAATGCTTCGACATGGACCTTCGAGCAGCTTTAGTTTCTTTTTTCTCACTTTCTTTTCAAGCATCAGCGAATTAAAATACGAAATTTCACCAATTCCCCCCCCCCAAAAAAAAAATTTACTTGTTTTTTTTTTTTAAGTTGTACTACTATCTCCCAGATCTGTAATTTAATCGACTTCAAGAGTTGGTGGCTGCATTCACAAGGCGAGGTTGTAGCTGCTGGCTTGTCCTTTCTCAGCAAGTGTAAATCTAAGCGTAAGTTTAAATGCTGAACTTGATTAAAGTGATTCGACCGTCAACTCCACGCAGTAACACAGACATTTCCCTAATGCGTGCACACAGCCTGAAACGGTAACGTAAGAAAAGAGCTCAGTTATACCGTGATTCCCATCGTTCGAAATTCTGATGTAATTTTTTAAATTGTTTATTATTATTAAAAAAAACCATAGCTTCTTTGCAATAAAGTTATAGAAAAATGCATAAGTGAAATCTGATTCAACTTTTTCCTGGCTCTCATTTGAGCCTAAAAACTATTTTCTAATTCAATTAGTGCCAAAGATAGCCGTTTGCTCCATGGGGTCATATTTCCCCAGGTGGTTAACTTTGGGGATGAATATCTCAAGAACCGTTTGTGCTAGAGCGCTGATATTTGGGGAGGTGGTTCATAACTCAGGGAAGTCATTGTGCAATAATTTTCTTAAGCAAATCCCTGCCGGATACACAACCTAAATACCTGAAATTCGACCACCTGAGCTGAAATGCCTCCAAACTGAAATGTAATTGGGAAAAAAAGCAGAGAGAAGACACCCAGCATCCTTAACCAGAGCGGGAGACGAGAATGAAACGGAAGTCCCTCTTCACGCAAAGGATGCCAAGGCCTAGTTAACCAGCACCCGGATGGCTGTGACGTCAGAGGCCAACCACCAATGAAGATTGAGAGAAGAGTGGCGAGGGACTGTGGCGTCGTGTGACGTCAGAAGCCAACCACCAGAGACGAGAAAGGTGGGAAAGATTGCGCATGCGCTCTAAGATCAAAATCATGGGGATATTCACAAAACGGGAAACGACACTCCTCAAGCACTGGTGCCTAACTCGCTTTTCCTTTTTTTTTTCCAAAGAAATACAGCGTGATGTTCTGACAAGGTAAATTTATGCTGTTTATGCTTATTTATTAAGTGTTTCTATATATCGTTTCAACCAAACTGGATAAATACTTCACAGGTGCCTGAGAAATGTCAGCTGGCTTCAGCTTCGTCAACCACCCCATATTTACAACTATGTATTTATACAGACAGTGTGAATAAAAGTACAATGGCGTGGGTATGGCGCATGCGGATCTTTGTAGGTTCTGTTTGTGTGCAGTGGTATTTACTCACATGATATCCCTGTTTGGGGGATCCAGAGGGACCGAGAAGGACGCACACACCGCCGGCGGCTGACATCACACACAACATCAGCCAATCGTGCATCTGCCAACGTGTCAAGTAACCCCCAAGGGAGAACAAAAAAAAAGGTGGAACAAGAGTGTTATTAGTTCCCACAAGCTTGCCTTTACTGACCTCTGCGGAACTGTCAACTTTTGAATGGATTGGGCCTGGAGAATATTAGGAATCGATCGGTTAATGAAGAAGGGATCCCTGTGGAAGCGCCGTAAGAATTAGACGAGGCTCGATAAATAAATCATCAAAGCTATACAGTAAAATTGGCAAATATTGGCAAATATTCCTTACCTGAACGATATTCTTGTCGAGGGAGATCAGAAGATCGGCACTCTCCTTATCTTCCACATTTCCTGCAGGCGATTCAACTTGGCTCACTGGAACAGCTTCTTCTGCAAACGAGAAAGTTTGACAGCTGGGTTTTCAACATGCCTTCCCTTACATTGATGAATGGAATGTGGCGGCAGGCGTTTCGAAGATGGAAAGTAAGGCAAGGAAAAAGAAAAGAGAAAAATTGAATTCTCGGGAGAGTCTGGGTTTTCAATCTGCCATTGCGAAGATAGATACGGGAGAGAGGAAAAGTTTCTTTATTAATTTTTTTTTCGAGGTAAGGATGAATGAGGAAGAGGCGCCCATACACGATTATGGAGGATTGTCAGCTGCGGCTGCGAGAATATTCAATCGAATAATATATTCCAACTAATATATTCATATTGGAAAGTTAATGAAATCGACTTAGTTGACACATAACACAAAGGCACTTTAGGAATGCGAGTTGCACGCGGAAGAAGAGCCGTTCAGTTACTTCGCCTCATTCCTTACTCCACAAAGCCACCTGAGTACTCCAGGATGTATCGAAAAAAATCACAATGTTTACACAGCTTTCAACCACCCTTCACGCTTGAAATTTTTTTGGCACACGAATCCTCCCGTCTTATTTCCATGTTTCATTTCCCTCCCGATGGTATGATTAAGATTCCTTGGATGAAAAAATAAATGCTGGACTCGATCAAGGAAATCTTTCCATCCCCCAAGTTCATTCAAAGGCCAGGGAGATGCAGATTCGCCGCGGAAAAGGGAAACCTTGTTCAATCGCAGGGAATCAGATTAGGGAGTGGAATGAAATCACGCGAGGCAGAAATACAGAGACAACAAGGAACGAGGCCTGCTGGGCCTTCTGATCGATATCTGTGATTCTTTTTTGTGCAGGGGCAAGCAAGTCCCCCCCCCCCCCTTTTTTTTCCCCCTTTCCATGCAACTGGGCCTCGTGATGATGGATGTCCACATTCCATGCAACCTCCTCCTTCTTTTCTCACCCATCATTTCCTCTCTTTTTTTCTTCTCGCTCACTCCATTACGAAGGAGGAAAAAGAGCTCATCAAGTGGATGATTTCATATGCGGCCAAGGGTCACGCATCCGTTTTTTTTCTGGGGAGATCGCTTCGATTTGTAACATCTACTGCATCTCATTCCAATTCTGTGCTTTGCGGTAAGTTCTTCACCCATGGATAGAATGGCGACGGAAAAATTCCCTTCTGCAAAGCCTAAGCATTTTTTCATCGTAAGGAAAAAAATTAACAGAGGGTTGAAGATAATGCAGTAGAATCACTCATTCATGCAGATGCAGGGGTGGACAGTCAAATAATGCAATATTTACTGAACCTACTTGCATATCAACAGGGATTTTGCCTTTAGTGTCTGAAAAGAAATGCGGAAACGAACAGGAATCCTAGAACTCCAATCCGAATATGCATATGGATGCTGTTCGATGGGATTTCCGAACAACTGCATATTTCGAAACGAATCGATAATCATCGTGTATGCAGTCTTCGCTTGCGATTTAAGCGTTCAAAAGCAATATTATCATTTCAAGGATCCCACCACGTCTCATTCATTCTCAACATGGGGTAGTCGGCACCTAAAATGCCAATGGCTGCAAAATACAAACTACACTGGGGCCAAACAAATTATAGGGTACTTTTAAAACTTCTCCATCTTTTAAACGAGGGCATGGATGTTCACGAATTTATAATATTACACTCTTGTTCATTGTCCTTTTTTCTTAAAAAAAAAAATTGTTTGAAGTTAGTAAAGAAAATCCGGATACGAGCTTTTTAGAATGTATGGTCAGAAAAATCGCTGACGAAGCCCTCCTCATGTGCGCTTGACAGATTTCCATGGCCTGACTCCAGGATATCTCCTTTTCTTTTTCTCTTTTAAAAACAGTTTTTGAACGTCTTGACTAAATGTTTGTCTTTGATATGCATCAATGCATGTTCAGTAGGGTAAAACCACCTTAGTTAGGACACTGCTGCAAACATTGTTTAAAAAAAAACAACTAAGCATTCGTGAGGCCGCCATCAGAAACAGTTATTCCTAACATGAGATGAACATGTTACTGAGCGAAGGACAAGCGGTGGCCAAGATGACTGCACAATTCCAAGAATGAGCTGAGGCGAATGCTATATCGCAAATAGGGGGAATTCTTCAAGAAACCGTAAGGAGAGAGCCGTACTTTTAATATGTTTCACACGTGAAAATGTTTTCTGTGCTCAATCCTTACCAGGAATCTAGGGGGAAATGAAGTCCTGTTACGCAGAATGCACTGCTTTGATCAGATTACTGCCTTACTTCCGGTGTGTCCGAATTTAGGTCAGGATATTTTTTGAGAAACCTAAGTTCGGACATGCATTCATATGCGTCATATCCGCGTAAGTATGATGCCCTCCTGAAATAACGTTTAGAGTTGACAAAAGCTCAGTGCTTTTGCACGGAACGGGTATTTTACAGCCCTGTCCGAACTTTCATAACGGGACATGTAACTCCGAACACCGTGGAGCACATAGTAAAAATATAGCATATTTCTTAGTACAACTAAGTGTGCGGTGTGATTTCAAAGCAGTGCAATCATGGTGGGAGGTTGGAATGCAAGGGATTATCGAGCAGACCCATATAAAACGTTACCCCCTCGTTCACCTATATTTAACCGCTTTTTCCATTAATCTTTACCTGAAGGATCTTCCGACAGGTTAAGAAAGGGGGAAAAACCTTTTTTTAAATCTTAGTTTCACCGTCTCAAATTTACCTCAGGTAAAAATTTATTGTAAGGAGAGACAGTTGAAAAGCCATCAGGACTTTCAATTTGGGTGAGATGTCCTTGTGGAAGGCCAGCATTGTTTACGGTGAACACGTCTGCTAGAAAAATGTGCCTGTAGGATTGTACCTCCGAATTCGGAGCGCGGATGTGTCCCTGAAGTTGGAAATTTTTAAAATTAAGCATGCTAAGAAATACTTGTCTACCGAATGGTAACACACTGCCTGCCCGTTCTGCTGAAAATATTTTTGAAAACATAACCCCAATGAAAAATGTTCACCCAAAGGATTTACCATAAGAGTAGGATTTTCCCCCAAAAAAAAGGAATTGAAGAGTAACTTACGCACCAAATTCCAGGTCTCTATATCCGCCGTCCCCAGATTCACTGGGCAAACAAATTAATAAATATGGCTACCGCGCCCCCCCCCCCCCGAAGATATATCCCTAAAGTAGGATTTTCCTTATGTCTGCATACCAGTATCTATTAACTGTAAGTAAGATCTGGCTGTCAGCCTTCTGTCTCCATGATTCCCTGAAAAGAAATAATTTTTTTTGGGGGGGGGGGATTGGTCCACCCCAATAATATGCTCCCAAGGGTAGCATCCTAAAAGTATAATTTTTCTCCTGAAATCTGCATCTTAATTAGTATCGATGTACCAAGTTGCAGCTTTTATGTCTCTCCGTTTAGTTGGAGCGAAAAAAATGCATGGAGATATTTCCCCCCCAAAAGTGCCTGAAATCTGCATCATCAGAAATAGTCCTATACCAGGCTTGATCTTTCTATCTCATCTAGAACATGGTTAGAATTAAAGTCAGTCGCACACGCACTCAATCACGATATTCCTATACAAGAAAATAGAGAAAAGATCCAATACTTCCGAGTCCGAGTAATCATTCCTATATACCACAGTGGTGTATTTCAAGCCTCTTTGAGACGTTAAAAAGGGGGTGTTCGAACTAAGGTGAAAGTGTCCGAACTTAGTTTTTTCCGCATCTAAGTTCGGACACCTACATTAACTTTTATAGGCAATATCAGAGGTCATAAGGCTGGAAGGACATCTTTGTAGCACTCATACCTACTCGTGTCATGTTTCCAGGAGCAAAAAAATAAAGCTTCCAGCTTGTAACGTCGAGATAGGACGAGCGAATTATAAGGCTCGGTCAGCTTAACTAATTTTTGGGGTCGCGCTTGAAAGAGCTTGGGAAGCCCTGCCCTATGAGCAGGTTATGTATTGGAGAAAATTTTTTTTTAAATATCTGTAATGAGCGCTAATATCCGATATCAATAATACCAGCCGAACTGGTGACGATAAAATGTAATAGCAGCATTAGTTCTTCAGTTTCAGCAACGCAGGCCAATAAGGCTCACGACTTCGGTCCTGCTTGGCTATCCCCTGATTCTTAAATCACCTCTTACTTCGTGCCATCAATGAAGAACTCACGGAGCACCGAATCTGGAGTTGACCATGTAGAAGATAAAGGAATGTGAGAGTGCAATCCAAGAGCAAAATCTTAGGTTCGAATGCACAAACCTCAGCTCTTTTTCCCTCACAGGAGTCCATGTATTCTCAAATGACCGTTAATTAAAGGAGGTCTTAGTATTCGGGCCTTAGTGTTTTCCGCAGAAATAGCACACTATAAATGCTCTTTACCAAGGGTCGTGTTCAGTATTGCAAACAGCACATAAAAGGTTCAGTTACGTCTCGTTTTACGATACCTTTTACTTAAAGTATAGCCTATCTTTGCTGGATAATGCTAAGTCAGTAGAACCATAACCGGACAACGGGAAACTGCAGTTTGTCCCTGGGGCGTATTAAAATGGATGAAGCCATTTTCCCGGGATACTATACAACACAAGAGCTGAAGTCGAGTCATGATCTATGAGTTTCATCGACCGGAATGCTAGGTGGAAGAGAGAAGCTGGAGGGGGAGGAGG